TCTCTCTCTCTCTCTCTCTCTCTCTCTCTCTCTCTCTCTCTCTCTCTCTCTCTCTCTCTCTTGCGCGCGCGCGCGCGTGGGCTTGTGTACATTGAAATTGTGATCTAAATACCGCTGGAAGTTCAGCAGGGAAGTGACAGGGGGTGTGGCTTTCTGTCCTTCTTTCCTGTCCTCTTGTCCAGCTGATCGAGTGCTCGACAAGGACCGCTGACTGATCGATTGCTATCATCATGTTTGGGGGAAAGAAGAACAAAAGAACAAGGAAAAGACAGGTTAAGAAACTGCATTCTAAAGAACTGGTACAATGTTTTTTTGTCTGCATTTCTGCACCCGTTTTGTTATTGTTGTTATAGCTCAGTTCCACCCATGAACTGTTGAAATATAGACCTGAGTTCGAATCCAGATGGAACCTAATGAATGGAGTTCTGATTTACCTGGGCCTGGTCAGTTCGACGATGACATCTCAAGGCGGCCGCCCTTTGGAAAAAAAAGGGGGGGGGGTATCCCGTAATCTTGTTGTATTCATCAATTTCATCTGGTTCCATCAGGATTTGAACTCATGACCTGTCTGTGAACAGTTGCGTGTGTGTGCCATTCCGCCACGTGCGCTGGGTACCTCATCACTTCCCCTGTTAAATGAACAACTGATTGATTAATTCCTTCTCACCTGACTACTTGTCTGATGGATTCATTGATTTGACATTTGATTGATTGATTGATTGATTGATGATCCAGGACAAGACCATTCCGAAGAGCAAGTACGAGGAGGATGTCTTTGTCAACAATCACAGGAGCATATGGGGTTCGTGGTGGAAAGACGGCATGTGGGGGTACAAGTGTTGCAGATCGACTATGCGGAACAGTTACTGTACTGGGCAAGCAGGTATCGATGCGTCTGAAGCAGCGGCGCAACTCATGCAGACGAACATTGAGCGGAAGGAGTCGGCGGCGGCCAGCGAGAAGGCGCTAGCGATGCGGGAAGAGAAGAACCTCGCCGTATGGGGATCTCAAACACCGGATGATGTCGTACTCGACAAGAAGAGGTTGAAGCAGTCGCTGAAGAGAGAAGATGAAAGGATGAAGGAGGAGAAGGATGAGCGGAAAAGGCGGTACAACTCGCTGCATGTTAACGATACGGTTACGGCGGAAGACATGGAGGCGTACCGAATAAAGAGAATCCATTCGGAAGACCCCATGAAAGATTTCATCGGGAAGGAACTGGTGGAAGTCTGATCGTGAAGAGAACCAACCCATTTGTAGTAATCTCGACTTGCCGATGCACAGTGCACACGCTTCATCTGCAAGGTTTGGTGTTTGGAAGGGGGGAGAGGGGGTTGTGTATGTTTGTCTTCTTTCTCTCTCTTTTTTTTTTTTTTTTTTGGATCTGCTCTGTAGGCGGATTGCAACGGTAAGAGCACAGGCAAGGTGGTGGTTTGAAAATGTCGAACGTTGACAGATGCGTAGTGTTTTGTGAGCTGTTTGTTTCTATTTCAATCTTCTGGGGAGAAGAACTTTGATTGGACTGTGAGAAGGGGACAGGCGCGCAGACAGTGTGAACGGGGCTGCAAGCCTCCACCCATCCAGTTGCATGGGTGGGGGGGCGGGTGGGTGGGGGTCAGTCTTTATTTGGATGAGAGACCAGATGGGTGTGATTGTTGCGTCTCTGCTTCGGGAAGGTACAGAGAGTGTGGGACGGGTGCTGCACTGATCCACCCAGCCCACTTACATGGGTCGGTGGGTAGGTGGGTGGGCGGGTTACCGGGTGCATTGACGAGATAGAGGTTGGCTGAGTTGGTCTTTGTTTGAATGAGATCAGCATGCTTGCAATTGCGTCGTCTCTGCTTCGGGAATGACACCGACAGTGCGGAACGTGTGCTGCACCCTTTCACCCATCCAGTTGCATGGGTGGTTGGGTTGGGTGGGTAGGTGAGCGAGTGGGCTTGTTAATGAACGAGAGATTGGTTGTGTTAGTTTTTGTTTGAGTGCGATCAGCAGGCTTGCGGTTGTGTTGCCTCTGCTTTGGGAAGGACGGAGGACACAGTGACGAAGAGGAGGGCTCGATGGAACAAGCAGCGAGCCCGTGAGCGGAGCGTTGTACATTCCTCTTTTGGTAGGTTTTCATTTGCCATTCCGATTCTTTTGATGAGATTTTCCTTTTCCAGTTCCGTCCAATTCGATGTAGTAGTAATAAAAAGGTTTGAGTCTCCCCCCCCCCTTTCCCCCCCCCCGCGTCCGATTATTTGATGCCAGAGTGAAGACGTGTATTTGGAATGATTTGGGAGCACCTGCTCCTGTTCCTTCTCCCGGTGGAGCCGGCTTCTAAATAAGAAGTACATCTCCTTTTGCTTAGCAAGCGTACAGTTTGTTGACGATTTGTTAGCTGTCACCGTTGGTTGCCTCTTTTTTCCCTAAACAGGAATTATGGACGTCATCAACGTGTGCGTGAGGACGTAGATGCAGGTACCGATTGATCTCTGGGGAGACGGTTTTTCTCTGGTTGTTCTGTTTTAAGTTTTAACTTTTAAGTTTTAAATGTACAGTAAATATATTGAGTCGTGACGAAGCCATGTAATTGGTGGGGGGGGGGGGGGGGGGAGGCATTATAAGGGGAAGGGGAATGGGGAATACTGCTTGGTGATCGAAGGCGCCATGGTTGTATGGCCATTGGCGTTCGGGAGTGCTGAATTGTGTGTATGGGGGGGGGAGGAATCCATATCTGAAAAAGTCCTTTGACTTTTCACTTCTCCTTCGAGCCACCCCTACCCTACCTTACTCGCTTCTGTCGTTTTTTTCATCCTTTTTCTTTTGTTGCGGACCCCTTTTGTTCTCAATTTGTGTGTGTCGCCGTGGCCACGCAGGGGCCATGCTAGGTTTTTGCTGTGTATCATTCACATGTCAACAACTGTGATGTCCCGAAGGTCTTCTCTCGTCCATTATCTCTCTCTTTCTCTCTTTTTCTCTTTTCTTTTTTTTTAAATTAATTTGGACGATTTCCTCGATTTATGTGTGTCATCCTTGCGCAGGGGTCATGCTAATCTTCTCTGTATCGTTCCAATTTTTTTTTAATTTTTTTTTTCGGAAAGCATTCGTCCTTTTATTGCAAAAATCTCTGGAACGAGGCCCCGGGAACCTCACAATTTTTTCTCTTTTCTCGTTTTCTCTTTTCTCTTTTTCTCTTTTCTCTTTTCTCTTCCTCTCTTTTTCAAAAGTTGTTTGCATCTCAACTCTTTTTTGTTTTACCGTATTTTTTTTTTTTTTAAAAGCTTTTTTATTTTGTGCTGAGTCTACCTGGGACCTTGCTGGCACCTTGCACAGCCCACGCACGGGGAAAGGTATCCAAGCTGGGGCGGGGGACGCCGTCAACTGAAGATACAAAAACAGAAAGATAGGACCTTCAGCTCAGCTTCCTTCGGATGTATTTGTGATTGTCTTAGGGCATCCTCATGCCTGGGCTTGTCCAGACTGATTGCAGTCGAAACTGTCGGCAAGTACATCCCAGAAAGTGCGAGTGCGGAGTCATCTTCATGCTACGTGGAAAAAGCAAAAGAGGGGAAAAGAGAAAGTGCGAGTGCGGAGTCATCTTCATGCTACGTGGAAAAAGCAAAAGAGGGGAAAAGAAAAAAGTCAAAAGAGAATGGCGAAGTTGTCTTCTTGTTGTTGAGCGAAGGGGTGCCGTGGAAGTAATCGCACCACAGGAACTACGCTCTGCGACCGTTATGTGAGATGCTGTGTGTGTGTGTGTGTGTGTGTGTGTGTGTGTGTGTGTGTGTGTGAGAGAGAGAGAGAGAGAGAGAGAGAGAGAGAGAGAGAGAGAGAG